TAATTTTAAATAGCTTGCTTCACATGTCAATCTCAGTTCCCTCTCCCTCCCCTCCTCCCACGCCCCCCCACTATCCCCCACAGCCTCCCACCCTATTCCCACTTCCTTCCACATAGGGGATATCTAGAGTCTGTCGTTTCACTCAGGGCAGGGTGCAGGCACTCCCCTAAGAGTCCAGGCTGAGAGAGCATCCCTCTTTGTGTTATGGATACAGGAAGTCCGTTTGTATGCCAGGGATAAACACTGATCTACTGCCCAGGGCCCCATAGGTTACCCAGGCCTCCTCACTGACTCTCACACCACCACCTTTCTTAAGAATTTATTTCTATTTCTTTTTCTATTTCTATTAAGAATTTGTATCTTGGGTCAGGTGTGATGGCACACATCTTTAGTCTCAGCACTTGGGAAGCAAAGGCAGGTGGAGCTCTCTTTGAGGCCAACTTGGTGTATATAGAAAATTCTGGGGCTGGAGAGATGGCTCAGAGGTTAAGAGAACTGGGTGCTCTTCCAGAGGTCCTGAATTCAATTCCCAGCAACCACATGGTGGCTCATAAACATCTATAATGAGATCTGGTGCCCTCTTCTGGTGTGCAAGCATACATTCAGAACACTGTATACATAATAATATTGTTGCACACTGACTTTTTTTTTTGGTTTTTCGAGACAGGGTTTCTCTGTATTGTTTTGGAGGCTGTCCTAGGACTCTCTCTGTAGACCAGGCTGGCCCCGAACTCACAGAGATCCACCTGCCTCTGCCTCCCGAGTGCTGGGATTAAAGGTGTGTGCCACCAATGCCCAGCTGCACACTGACTTTTTGAGACAGAATTTCTCTATGTAGCTGGAGTTTGCTATGTAGACCAGGCTGATCACAGAAATCTGCCTGTTTCTGCTTCCTGGGAACTGGAACTAAAGGTGTGTATCTGGCTAAGTCTAGCTTCTTGAGCATATGGAATTTCACACAGAAAAAACACTTGCCTCCTTTTTCACCAGCATAGTGCTTGCAGCCATTAGGCTCATGTTATATTTAACTTGGTTTTTGTTGTTGTTCTATTCAAATGTGACATAAGTAATGTTCTGCAATCCAACACCCTGTTTTTCACCCTCATCACTTTCTTCTATAGCATCCATTTTTATTCTGCTTTCTCTTACACACACACACACACACACACACACACACGCACGCACGCGCACGCGCGCGCACAGCAATGTTGAGCAGACAAGCATTCTAATATTGAGTTACTCTCCTAGCCTTTCTTTCATTTAATTAGAAGTTATTTTATATTTAATTTTTAAGAATTCCAGAAGGAGCCAGGTAATGGTGGAGCATGCTTTAATCCCAGCACTCAGGAGGTAGAGGCAGATGGATCTCTGTGAGTTCAAGGCCAGCCTGGTCTACAAAGTAAGTTTCAGGACAGCTAGAACTATTACAGAGAAACCCTGTCTTAAAACACTACCTCCCCCCAAATTTTCAGGTTATAGATAGTTCTAATATAATCATAACCAGCTCCTCCAGATGTATCACCATGTTACTACACCTTATATGTCTATTTCTAAGGGCTACATAGTGTTCCACTAGTGTGCATACTTTGTCTTACCCATACCTTTGCCTTGAGCGTCTAAGTAGGCCTCAGCTTTAGCTGAAATAGCCAGAGCTACAGTAGTGCTGGGCATGGAACCAGGGCCTTGTACATTCTAGGCAAGTGTGTTACCATAGAGCCATACCCCTGGCCACTATGTTTTTATTTTGCATTAGTTTATGAATCTGCTCTTAAAATACTGTTACCTCATTTTCTTAGGTTAAATTTCTAAGATGGAAAGAGTAATTGTGTTTAAGACTTTTTAAAATTTGTTTTTGTGAGTGTACAATGTAGTGTGTGTATAAGTGTGTGTGTATGGGGTGTGTTTGTGCCATCCGTGGTGCGCATGAGGTGGTTCACGAACAACCTCAAGTACCAGTCTTCATTTTCTACCTTGTTTGCTACTGTGTTACATGCTCCAGGCTAGCTGTGGTCCAAGGGCTTCTGGAGAATTCTTCTACCTCCCATCTCTCCATAGAAATGCTGAGATTACAGATGTATCACAACACGATGGTATGCATCTGGTTTTTATCTGGCTTCCAAGAATCTGGACTCAGGTCATCGGGCTTGAATAGTATAAACTTTTACTCATTAAGCCAAGGACATCCCTTGGCTAGTATTGATGTGTTCCTTTTTTTTTTTTTTCAGTTTATTAAACTCCGTATTTGCTGATGATTTCATTGAGACTTTGAGCACTGTTCCACTCACAGAAAAATGAAAACTTAATTTATTGCAGTCAGGTGGTCATACTTCATTGGTAATGTGTTTGATAATTTTGTCATTTTTTTATACCTAGCATGATGATGGGTTCAACATATCTACCCAAAAGAAAAAGCTGTTTCATCCTGGCACAGAGCAGGTACAAGGTTACTGATGGTGGTTGCTTAGCTAGAACCCTTGGGAGTATGTTTCTGCTGTTTTGGCTTTCTGAGGAGGCTGCTCTAAGGAGCCCAGGCTCACACACTGCACTGTGGGGGTAGCCAAGACACCCTCCTGTGTTACCATCTGGTGCTGTCTTCTCCACCTTGGTATTCACCATGTTCAGGTCACAAGATGTTCTTTCTAGATTTGTTATGCTTTTTGTGATCTCAGGATGAGCATTTCCTTTAACTCTTGGTATCTGAGCTTTCCTTTGCTCATTCTTGGTTACTGTGTGCCCACCTGTCCTACTGTATTTCCAGAGCCCTGGTTCTTTATAGTTCTGTATTTCCCTTTTCCCTCCTTGTTTATCTAGAAAGCAATCATCTTTGTCATAATTAGCTCATACACCGACATATTGCCTTGTTTACATAAATTTATAACATTCAGTCTACTTAGCCCATAGAATTATATTGTTAGGCCTAAAAAAAAAAAAGCCAACCTATCTTCGTGTATCATTGTGGACTTATGGCTTTTTCTGACGTTCAGCTTATTCTTTCTGAGCAGACAGCTTTCAGTTTTTGAATGGGTCATGTGTGGTCAGAACAGGCATGTGGTTTCAGGACCTGACTCCATAGAGTTGTGTACTTTTAAATTTTCTTTTGGGTAATGCTGGGAATTGAACATAAGGCTCATGCATGCCAGGTAAGCACTGGGTTATAGAAGTTTGCTGGAGTTCTTGAGTGAGGACTGTTAGGGACTAACCTAAGTTACTGGGATATGCTGAAGTCATTTTATGATGGTTTGATGGGTTGTGTGGTACATGTACTTGGACAGTATGCAGTCTACTCTTTCCTCCTCCTCCTCCTCCTCCTCCTCCTCCTCCTCCTCCTCCTCCTCCTCCTCCTCCTCCTCCTCCTCCTCCTCCTCCTCCTCCTCCTCCTCCTCCTCCTCCTCCTCCTCCTCCTCCTCCTCCTCCTCCTCCTCCTCCCTCCTCCTCCTCCTCCTCCTCCTCCTCCTCCTCCTCCTCCTCCTCCTCCTCCTCCTCCTCCTCCTCCTCCTCCTCCTCCCTCCTCCTCCTCCTCCTCCTCCTCCTCCTCCCTCCTCCTCCTCCTCCTCCTCCTCCTCCTCCTCCTCCTCCTCCTCCTCCTCCTCCTCCTCCTCCTCCTCCTCCTCTTCTTCTTCTTCTTCTTCTTTTTTTCCCCTGAGACAGGGACTCTCTCTGCAGCCCTGACTGCCCTGGAACTCTCTCTTTAGACCAGGCTGGCTTCAAACTCAGTGTCTCTGCAGCACTAGGATTAAAAGCTTGCATCACCCCTGCCCAGCTCTACCCTTTTCTTTTAGCTTTTATTTTTTAATTTTTGTTACATTTTTTTAAATAACAGGGTCTTACTAGCCTGGGACTTGACAATTAGACTTAAGATGGCTGGACAGTTAGTGCCCCAGCAATTGCTTGTTTCCACTTTCCCAGTGCTGAGATGGACTACCAGTTTTTGCTTTTTGTTGATTTTTTTGGGGGGTTGGGGGTGACTAGTTATTGAACCCAAGACCTTATGTATGCTAGATACTTGCTGTACTACTGAGCTATATCCCCAGTTCCCATTTATTTGTTTGTTTTAATTCTACAGATTGAATTTAGGTCCCATGCTTACAAATCAAGTAATTTACTGACTGAGCTATATCTTCCCTGTCTTTTATAGTCAGGATAGTATCACCACTATGAGGATATACCAAGGGCAGAACTGAAGAGAAGAATTTTATGGATGTAGGTAGTTTTTACATACTGCGAGTTTAGCTATGAGTACTCAATTCCTTTCTCTGTGTGCCTTTTTCCCACTCCTACCCCCACCTCTTTTTTTTCCTAGACAGGGTTTCACTCTGTAGCTTTGGAGGCTGTTCCGGGACTTGCTCTGTAGACCAGGCTGGTCTCAGTCTTTCAGGGACCCACCTACCTCTGCCTCCCTAGTGCTGGGATGAAAGACATGCACCACCACCACTTAGCCCCCACATCCTTTTTTTGTGTGCAGGATCTTGCTTTGTAGCCCAGGCTGGCCCAGAAGCAAGCCATGATTCTTCTGCATGCTAGGGTTATAGGTATTCACCACCACACCTTGCTTATGTTTCCATTTTAAACTGTATGTTTCCTCTCATCTTTCGCATTTCTGTTTCATTGACTCTTATGTCATCATTTCCAAAAGCATTTTAACAGTAACACTAGTTTTGGGTACTAACCATAATTGTATGAATATTCATCATAAGTCATGCCAGTATTGGGTGTCTGTATAAAGTAAACATACTCCAGAACTGCAGATGCACAATTCTGTGTCTGCTTACTTTACCCTGGCCTTGGAGGTAGTTGGAGTAGTGCTGAGGGAAATGTGAGGACATGCCTGGATGTGAGCAGCAGAGAGGGAAGGAAGGACTTTGGTTCTAGTGGACACCCAGAGTCAGATAGATGTGCTGTCCTGCCTTCAGGGGTACCATTATAAAATGCTTGTACTTGGGCTCATGTGCTCAGGACACGAGAGCTACTTGACTCTTAATCTCTTTCCTCTGTGTTTGCAGTATGATGCTGTTCCCATTCAGTCCAGTGTGGTGCTATGTTCCTGCCCGTCTCCATCAATGGTGAGGTCCCAGACTGAGTCCAGCTCGGCCCCTGGCATTCCTAGTTGTGTTAGCAGGCAGGGACCCACCATGGATGGCACCACAGCTGAAGCCCGACCAAGTACCAACCCCTTGCAGCAGCATCCTGCCCAGCTGCCACCACAACCTCGAAAGAAACGGCCTGAAGACTTCAAGTTTGGGAAAATTCTTGGAGAGGGCTCTTTTTCGACAGTGAGTATGTGCCTCTACTGCTGTTGCTTTTTGAGCCTAGGGTTCTCTTGGGATCACTGACTATTGAGAACACCTGCCAGGCATTGTTCTCCCAGGAGGTGGTTTCTTGCTCTCATGGTTGTCATCTGTTAGGAGTGCCACTTGAGTCTAGGAGGGAGTGGACTCCTCCAGAAGACCACCTGAAGAAGCATGGTTAAACTGGATTTTTTTCTGTTTTTGCTCATACCTTTACTCCTTATACTCAGAAGCGGAGGAGTTTAAACCTGGAAGTTTCAGGACCTCTTGGTAACATTGAATGCCTGTTTCAAAAAAACAAAAGCAGCTGTTGATTTATATTGCTTTAAAACTACAGTTAAGGCAGCATGGGCATGTATGTCCTGTGTTGTCCTGTCTTACTGGACAGATCACAGGAAGCTTTTAGCTACTTAGGTTGAAAGTTAGTATCATTTGTTTGTTTGCTTTTCGAGACAGGGTTTCTCTGTGTAGCAGCCCTGGCTGTCTTGGAACTCACTTTGTAGACCAGACTAGCCTTAAACTCACACAGATCTGCCTGTCTCAGTCTCCCGAATGCTGGTATCAAAGGCATGTGCCACCATCGCCAGGCAAGTGCTAGTATCTTTTTGGAGGCTTTTGGTAATATTCAGTGACCCTTTTTTATGCCTGTTTGTTTTAAGACCTAAACTATGATACTAAGTATTTGCTGGAGTGTTGACCTCCAAATTTTTTTTTTTTGTAATTTCCAGGCCAAGTGGGTATTTTTGCAGAGTGATCCAGGTGTCACTCTCAATTTCAAACAGCTTCCAGTGAAACAGATTTCTGTGTTCCATCTCCAATCTGAAATTGACACTCCAGGGTAGTTGCAGAGGGGACTAACTTGCAGAGAGTTTCTAAACAACCAGTCTTCCTTATACTGACTTTGTAAAGAATCCATATGTGCAGTTTGTTTTCTCTTGTCTTTTTTTTTTTAAACAAAGTCTCACTACCAAGCCCTAACTAGTTCAGAACTTTCTATGTAGATCAAGCTGGCCTTTAATTCACAGAGATTTGCCTGCCTCTGCTTCCTGAGTGCACACATTAAAGATGAGTGCCACAATGACTGGCTGAATTTTTTTCTTTCTCTCTTCATATTTATGATTCTAAAATACAAAGAACACTTATATTTTAAACATTTCATTTTAAATTAACTTTGGCTCTTACACTGTAAGGTTTAAATCTTAAGTAACAACTCTGGTGAAGTACTTTTGTTTATAGAAGGATTGTGGTCTTAATGAAAAAAGCCTTCAACCATGAAGATTGTTCCTGTGCCTCTAGAACTCACCCCGCCTTGTAGGAAGAGGAAACTACTTTGAGGTCTCTGGGTGCTGCACTCAGCTACAGATGATGTTCTAGTGAAGGGCTTCCTTTTTTCAGTTTACTCCTGTATGTTTTCTTCACAGGGATGTGTATTAGGTACTGTCTTTCCTTGGTGGCAGTCATCCTTCTTATTCAGTGCCTGTTTCCTGGCTCTTTGAAATCTGTTGTCCTGGATCTCAAATGAGGTGTTACACTGATTCAGCTCTAATCTTGAAATAGTGAGCACTTAAATTAGATTTCCAGGGGAGGAATAAAGGGCATACAGTTAACCAGACTGAGCAGGATATTCACTTGGCAGAACCTGAAACTAGAGCGCAGAAAGGCCCCAAAGTACATGTCACATCCAAGATAGTAATGACATCACCCCTGGTGACATGGAGCAATATGTCCCATGCAGTTCTTTAGAAGACTTTCTCTGTTCTGTGGGAAAACTGCTTATGAAATGCTAAGTTTAGAAATGAGCTCACAAGCTGGGCATGATGGCACATGCCTTTAATCCTAGCACTCAGCAGACTAAGACAGGTGGATCTCTATGAGTTCAAGGCCAGTCTGGTCTACGTAGTGAGCTTCAGGCCAGCCAAGGATACATAATGAAACCCTGCCCCCCAGTAAACAGACAAATACATAAATAACTCCTCCCTCAGAAAGGATTACAATAAACCAAAGTACTCTTCCAGCAGCTCCTTTTTCCCTTTTCATACATAGGAAGCTAAGTATGCATGCTCATGAAGGAATGTGAATATATATTTAGTCTCCATTCCCAAAGGGGAATACACTACTCTAGCCTGCTCCTCTCACCCTATATATATCTCATGTTCCCTCAGAAAGTTCTTTGAGATCTTTTTACTTAAATACATTCAATTCTACCTTGTTCTTCCTAGTGGCTGTGGTTATCTCATAGTGCTTTTCCAGGACTGTGTCTAGGGAGTTCTGTCACAGGATATAACTAACAACCAGGAGCCAGGTGACCCTGCCCTGTGACCTTCTAAAAGTTTTTACACCAGGCCCAGTGATTCTTGGGCATGTTTTATTTGTTCTTTGATTCTCAGTCTATCATTTCAGGTGTCTAAAAAAGCACATTAATTTGCATTTATCAGCCATTTTGGGGCAAAGCGTCTTTGGCAAAGCTGCCCCTTCAGGCTCTGGCTAAACCTTGGGCCTGTCAGCTCCTTTCAATCTGATGCCTCAGGTATGCCCAGGGTTTGCTGATGCTCTATCCCTGAAGCAGAGTCTCACAGGCAGAGGTGTGCTCTATATGGAGAACATTCTGTAAAGATGGTTTGTTCTGTGCTGTTTTAGTTCCTGGTACACAATACAGCCATAACTATGTTTATACCATTAGATGAAATATATAAATATATGACAGTAATTATTTGGAGAAGCCTAAATCAAGGGCAGCTTTTTGTTTTTTTTAAGAAACACTGGTATTTACATATCAATCCCCCCATTCCTAGCTTTCCTATCCTCCCATGTTCTTCACCGACCCCCCAACCCCACCCACCCACTGTCCAGGGATAGTGAGGCCCACCACAGGGGACCATCAAAGTCCATCACATTATTTGAGGGTGGGCCCAGGCCCTCCTTCCCATATCTGGGCTGCAATAGTATCCCTCCATGGGGAATGGGTTCCCAAAGTCCATTTGTGCTCTAGGGATAAACACTGACTCCACGGTTAGAGGTCCCATAGACTGCCCAGGCCTCCTAGCTGGCACCCACATTCAGAGGGCTTGGTTCAGTCCAATGCTGGTTCCCCAACTTTATGACTAGGGTCTCCGTGCTCTCACTAGGTCAGGTCAACTGTTTCTGCGGGTTTCTCCAGCACCATCTTGGCTCCTTTGCTCATCCCTCCTCCCTCTCTGCAACTGGATTCTGCTACTGGGTGAAGGCTCTATGCGTGACAACCAAGGCAGTCATCAATCTCATTACAGGGAAGGGCATCAAAGGCAGCCTCTCCACCACTGCCTAGATTCTCAGTTGGGGTCATCCCTGTGGATCCCTTAAATTTCCTCTCTGCCAGACCTCTCTCCAAACCTGTACTGGCTCCTCTGTCAAGGCATCTCCTTTCTTGCCCTCCCCTGTCTTAGTCCTCCTGTTCTCCTCCCCCATCCCTATCTTCCCCTCTCCCCTTACCCCCATCCCATGCTCCCAATTTGCTCAGGGGTTCTTGTCCTCTTCCCCTTCTTTGGGGGATCATGTGTTCTTCTCTTAGGGTCCTCCTTGTTTCCTAGCTTCTCTGACGGTGTGGATTGTAGGCTGGTAGTTCTTTGCTCTATGTCTAATATACATACATGAGCGAGTACATATCATGCTTGTCTTTCTGTGACTAAGTTACCTCACTCAGGATGTTTTCTTCCAGTTCTATCCATTTGCCTGCGAATTTCAAGATTTCATTGTTTTTTTTTTTCTCCTGAGTAATACTCCATTGTGTAAATGTACCACATTTTCTCCTTCCATTCTTCAGTGGAGGGGTATCTAGGTCACTTCCAGGTTCTGTCTATTACAAACAACGCTGCTATGAATATAGTTGTTGTATGAATGTGCATTTCAAGGGCAGCTTTTTACCAGGATCTATATTGGGAAGTCATATTCTCTCTCTCTTTCTGCCTGCCTGCCTGTCTTTTGTTGTTTTGTTTTTGTTTTTGCTTTGTTTTTTTTAAGACAGGGTTTCTCTGTGTAGCCCTGGGTGTGTTGGAACTCTCTGTAGACCAGACTGTCCTCAAACTCAAGAGCTCCACCTGCCACTGCCTCCTAAGTGCTGGAATTAAAGGCATGCTCCACCACCACTTGGTAAGACATATTCTTGAAGTTATTTTTCTGAAGAAATTTCCAGTACCCACTGTGGTGATATTTGGACTTGTCAGCCAATAAAATTCTTTTTTGTTTGTGATAGGGTGTGTTGAGACAGGCTCTTACTGTGTAATAGAGTTGCCTGGATCTTGGAATCCTCCTGCCTCTGGCTTCCAAGTATTAAGATTATAGGTATACATTATTGGTTCTTTTTTTTTCCTTAAATTAGAAACATGAGTGCTTCAAATACATTATTGGTTCTTAAATTTATACTTTGACTATACTTTAAGAACTTCTGGTAGCTAACTGATTATGAACTTTTGAAAATGATGGCACAATTACTGTTTATCATTTAATGTTTGTTATCATGTTGCTGTTAATTATTAGATTATATTAACACAAGCAGTAACTTTCTGATATGTTTGTTAGTATAGGATCCAATGTAACTTTAAATGTAACTTCAAATTGTGTGTATGGACTGGGCAGCCTGTGCAGGGTGACAGTGACTGACTAGACTCATCTCATTATTACACTGTGTTTTTCCCCCCCAAACCAGGTTGTTCTGGCCCGAGAACTGGCTACTTCCAGAGAATATGCTAGTAAGTACTGACTCCAGTGAGCTATGTGTCTAGGATTCAGGGGCAGTGCCATTTTTGTACATATGGCAGGCAGCCTGGGTAGTAGTAGAGCCTATGCAAATTTCAGTCTATGACAAAGGTTAATCTTCTAGACCATGAAAGTTTGAGTGGGTGGTTTTGGGAAAGCTGCAGTTTATATCAGTTACCTTTATAAATTTACCATTTTTCACATTTTCTAAGTTAAAATTCTGGAGAAACGTCATATTATAAAAGAGAACAAAGTCCCATATGTAACTAGAGAGAGAGATGTGATGTCACGCCTGGATCACCCATTCTTTGTGAAACTTTACTTTACATTTCAAGACGACGAAAAGTTGTGTATCCTTTGCATGATCAGTGCTGTCTGAAAAAGTACCTTGTGTTTTAGATTAGTGACTACATTGTTTGTTCCTTGAAAGGAAGGGTGCAGCATGGATTCCCTGTGGGGACTGATATCCTTGGAGGCAACAGACAGTACCAGCACATGACTGAGGCTCTTAGCAATGTGCCCACAGTGTTGGTGTTTATTGATAAATAATGTACCTAATGAATTGTTTTAGCCATGGTTGCTGGACATTGATGCAGAAATGTTCCCTCATTTTTCTAGCAAATGTTTTGGAATGTCTGTTAGGTATTATTGACTCCTGTTTTTTGAAAAGTGAGGACTTGAGAAAAAAATTTTGGGCTTCCTCAAGTTCCTAGAGTTGGCAAAAAGTTCTCCATACCTTCTTTCATCCTGAGGTGCTGAGTTTGGTCAGAAGAACAACTTAATTGGGCATTTGAGAAGTTCAGGAGCCCAGAGTGCTATCCTCCTGTAGCTCTGTCTACTGCTGGGCTTGCTCAGCCCCTCTAACTCCTTAGGGCTGTTTAAATGACCTTTCCAGCAGATTCACTGTTGTCCACATTCCTCTTTTTCCTATGTTTTATTTACTTTTTTTTTTTTTGAGACAATGTTTCTCTACATAGTGGCTGTCTTGCCCTCAGGCTCACCAAGATCACTCTGCCTCTGCCTCCCTAGTGCTGGTACACCAACAACCCCCCCCCCCCATCTGCTTCCACTTTTAATGACATCCCTGGTTTCTTCTGCTAGATGCATCTACTTGTGCTCCACCCCCCACCCACCCACCCCCCGCCCCCGTTTTCCATTTAGAAGTGCTTATTTATGGAGAGAGGGGCAAAATGCTGATAAGAAAGGAAGGTTCTACCTTCTTCATGGGGTTGATTACGCTTTGGGAGAGCTTGTATTAAAAACTATGTCACAGATGTTTAGGTAGTAGGATAAGTTGGAAGGACAGGTGTTGGTGTCTGCAGTGTGCAGGTCTTTCAGCCTTGTAGATGTATGAGGGCAGAAACATGTGGGACCCTCAGTGGACCAGGTTTCTGAGCTGTGAAGTTCTTGTACCAATTCTGGATTTTCTCCTACTGTGGAGGAATATGGAGTTTGCTCTGATTCTGATATCTGTGGTCCAGACTTGGGGAAAACAAAATTAGATGTCTTCTGGTGTTTGCCTTCAGATCCTGGTCTACACTGTCATCTGTTACTGAGCCCAGAGAGACTGGACAGTGGCTAGATGGGAATAGGTTGTCATTTGATGTATGTGCTAGTGCTTATTTGAGGTCTCAGTGGGCCAGTTGGGTGGCTGCTAGCAAAGCCTTTGAGGAGGTGATGTGCAGATAAGAGTTGTCAGCCAGTTGACCAGCTACTCAGAAGACTCTGGGAGCCTGGAGATCCAGACAGATCACATAGGTTCTGATGAGGGCCTGCCTAGTTGCCCAGCCTGGCAATCTAGTAAGTGGCCTGTCCCTGGCCAGAGGATTAGCCCATGAACAAGTTGTTGAGAGTTGGACAGGCAGTTTCTCGGGGGCAGAGTTCATGACAGAGGTTGAGGCAGTCAATAGAGACAACAAATGGGCTCTTTCTTTTTATTTTATTTCATTTTTTAAAGTATTTATTTATTTTATTTTATTATACAGTGTTCTGTTTACATGTATGCCTGCAAGCCAGAAAAGGGCACCAGATCTCATAATAGATGGTTGTGAGCCACCATGTGGTTTCTGGGAATTGAACTCAGGACCTCTGGAAGACCAGCTAGTGTTCTTAATCACTGAGCCATCTTGCCAGCTCCTGGAGGGCTTGTTTAAAGAGGAAGATCCAGTAGGCTCCAGGAGAACAGATGTGTTGATGAATGATGGTCTTTAGAATAAATAGAACTTACTGTTTCCCACTATCAGCCCTGGTCCCCCACCTCTGCTGGCATTGCTCACACAGCAGTCATCAGTGGCCTCTTTATATTTCATTACACATCTCTCTGAACCTACATTAATTCCTCTTTCATGTTCCCTGTGCATGAAAGTACCCCCTTTTGAGTCCATGGAAGTTCAGGCTTCTGCCAGTCTTCAGAACTTTTTTTTGATCTTGAAGCTCTGTTACTAATCAGCTCTGTGTCACTGCTATAAAATGCCTGGGGCAGCTAGTTCTTTAAAGGGAAGTGATTTGTTTAGTTCATAGTTCACAGGAGGCTGAGTGTCCAGATGACGTTCATGGTGCTGTAGCCTTATGGTATATAGTGGATGGTGGACCATGTGTGAAGGAAGGATCACATTTCAAGCCAGGAGGCAGAGTAAGTAGATGTGGCTGGACTTCCTTCTTTCATGGAAATCTTTTTTTTTTTTTGAGACAGGATTTCTTTGTGGTGCTGGGTTTAAAGGTGTATACCACCACCTTTGTTTTGACATGACACTCATTGTTTTGAAGAATTTACAGTTACCAGTGAGTCTCGGGAGCCCAGTGACCCAAAGACATGCTGCTACTTAAAGGTCCCCCACCCCATAGTCCTGCCACCTGGAGACCAAGCCTCTAGTCACATGCACCCTTGAGGAAACACCAGATTGTATCAAGACTGTGGGTAGCCAAGACAGAATTACACATGCTTGACTTCATCTTCTGTCAGAGTCACAGTGGTAGATTCATAGCTCAGAAGCCAGACCAGAGTGTCCTTACTATGTGATTTAAATGAGACTGGCCATGTCAGTTCAGGTGGAAAGAACTCTAGGTCTTTGTCTATTGGCACATACTGTTCTTGGTGTAAGACCCAGAAGATCATGATGGCTCACCTACCTCCCAGGAGAATGAGATCCATTGACTTCTGCCTCACTGGTAATCTCACTATACATTGTATTGAGAAAGAAAAGTGAAACTTTTTGCATGAAGAAATGCCCAGATATGACACTGTCCTCCATTTAGTCATAATTTCAAGTGGAGGATAGGGACTAGTTCTTGTGTATTCACTTTTCATTACCTTCAATAGATCAGGATGAACCCACACCCATTCAGGACAGGTAAGATGAGGCAGAGGCTGGGGACACCTCTGCCATAGACTGAAAACAGACAGATGAATCACACAGGGACTATTGAGGGCTCTTCATCAGATTTAATACAGGGACCTGGGAAAGTGAGTCCAGGGGTTTGGCCAAGCATAAGGCTTCCCTATCTTGGTATAATTCTGGCTAGATCAGAGCCAGTGGGGGAACTTTCCTTTTCACACACAGATGAAGACCAAAGAGTTCTCAGACATAGGTGCTTTCTACCCCATCGTCTTTAAACTCCCACCAGAGCAGTCTACACTTGCTTGTCCTCATGATGCCTCATTTGCAGCATGGAGTCAGGACTACAGGACTGCCCATTGTAAACTTGAGTCAGTTGCTTAATCTCTCCGAGATTCCTCCTCTGCAAATTGTACACATTGGGTTCTTAGCCTCCCTGGCTCTGCTAAGGCAGTTGGTTTGTGCCTGCCCTCCCAGGGGCTTACTAAGTCTGTGACAGCTTTTGCTGCCCTGGAGCACTGACTATGACCACAGGGATGGAGGATGTTCTTAGGATGCACACTAGGTTGATGAAATCTAAAAGAACATTTTGGAATGAGGAAAGATATGATTGCAGAGAACTAGCAGCCTGAGAAATAATCCCAGGTACCTGCTATTTTACAACTTGCCTCTGCTTCCCTTCTGAGCAGAGACCCACAGGTGTCCCTCTCACAGGAACCAGGAACCAGTGAAGGGTCAGATAAAGGGTAGAACTATGAAGCCAGAAAGAGAAGTTACTCCCTATTCCCTTGATCTCATGGCTGTGGCCTTATACATGAGCTCCTAACTGGTGAGGCCCTGCTGCCAGCCTATGTCAGGCTAGAATTGGTGGCTCTATGGCATGCCCTAAAACACCATTGACTACAATAACTTGGGAAGAAAAGGGTTTATTTCAGTTTAGAGTTCCACATCATAGTCTGTCACTGAGGGAAATCAGCAGCAAACCAGGGCAGGAATCTGAAGACAGGAGCTGTTTCAGAAGCCATGGAGGAGTGCTGCTGACTGACTTGCTCCCTATGGCTTTTTCAGTCTGCTTTATTATACACCCCAGGATCACCTTCCCAGGGATCCACCTATAATGGACAGGGTTTTCCCGCACCAATCACTAATTAAGAAAATGCACTATAGTCTTACAGGCAAATCTTAGGAAGGCAGTTTCTTAATTGAGATTCTCTCTTCGCACTATAGTCTTACAGGCAAATCTTAGGAAGGCAGTTTCTTAATTGAGATTCTCTCTTCTCAGATGACTGACTTGTGTCACTTGACATAAAATTAGTCAAGACATGGCATCAGCCTCCCTCTTGAGGGAGCAGACAGGATACAGTTGGGCCTGAAGGTCTCTGTCAGGCTTTGAGTTGAGAGGCGTAGATGATCAGAGATGGGTCTGGCCAGCAGCAACTTTACCAGCTTTAGTTGTTGTCCTTTCTCTTTTGGGTTTGTTTCTTTCCCAAGCCTCAGGCTCTCTCCTTGGTGATTGGCAGGAGTGCCTTGACAGACAGAAGCCAAAATGGAGCAGGAAGTCCACCTTGACTTCTGTATAAACTTCAAACTTGGCTTCAGAACTGCTGTTCAGCATTTGGGCCCTTATGCCCCAGGCTGTCAGTGAGGTATGGTATACCTGGAGATTTCCAGTAAGAAGCACACATGTTTAGTGCTTTGGAGGGAAATAGTCATTTGTAGCTGTTTCTTGTCAGTGTTCAGTTCTCTTCAAAGAAAAAAGCATAAGCAGAACATATTGCAGCATGGGTGTGTGTGTTGGGGGGGCTGTGCAAGGGGAGGGTATTTTTCATCTCCCCAGCAGGTATTTCTCAAATAGATCAAATGAATCAGCAGATTAAAACTGTTATGAAGCTTGTTACTTTTATGCACAGGATGGTTAGCACAGCCCATGGAATGCAGCAAGTTCAGACAAGGGTCACAGTGGTAGTCACTTGGGGTTCTGTCAGGACTCTGTCTTCAGAACTAAGTTCTCCTGCACTTTAAAGCTGTCCACCTGTTGTTAGTGCCTTGGCCTTGATCTGTTGGTCCAGTAGCCACCTAGAGGCTTTCTTTCATAGGTCTTTCAGAGGCCTCTGAGGACTATGTGTCTAGAAGGACACCAGGACTGAAAAGTGTACATATTTTTTGTGGGGACTGTGTCATTGTCTTAGAAAGTCTGTGTTGGCACCTGGTCTTGGAGCTGGGGCCTGAATCTGACCCAAAAAAAGGGGAACTATCTTGGAGCATAGGTACCTTCAATATACATTTGATGGAAGAAAAAAAACGTTCTTGTGGGGCTTTTAAGGTAAATTTTTAGAAAACAAGCATATTTTCCCATTCTTCCTTAACCACAAATGTTCAGATTTTGGGCTTAGTTATGCCAAAAATGGAGAGTTACTCAAATACATCCGCAAAATTGGTTCATTTGATGAGACCTGTACCCGGTTTTACACAGCTGAGATTGTGTCTGCTTTAGAGTACTTGCACGGCAAGGGCATCATTCACAGGTAATGGACACTGCTCCAGATGGTGTGTACATCATAGCCCCTGTAATGATTGCAGTGGCTCTGAGGCCACACCAGCTCTCTGAGGTCAGCGTTGGCTGGCCTTATACAAGTTATGATGTAGGTATTTCCAGGTAATGGTTCACTGAGAAAGCTGAAAACAGACTGGAAATGAAAGGAACCTGCACTCCGAAAGCTCATATCTAGGTCATCAGTTCAACTTGAATGAGATGTCATTCTGTGACACTAAGCAGATCAGATATCTGGTGTTTTTCATTTTTCAGTTGTAACTTGTATTTATTTAATTCTGGTCATGTGCTTTATGAACTAAAAAAATAAGCTCAATAAAATGTTACTAAAAGTGGTAGATGAAGCAGAGAGGAGGTGTTAAATGTTTGTAACAGCTGTTTAAAGATAAAAGTGATACAGTTATAAAATGATTTTGGGATGTCTATATCTTACGCTGTTGACATTTGTTTGATATGAACTTTGGGCTTGTATTCTTGGTTCTTAGTCTGTAAAGGGAAAAGTTCATCATTATTGTGTTTCCATCCAAATGTGTAGTATGTGATAATGCTGCTACTTTTAAGCATTTCATCTCAAAGGTAAAATTCTACTTTTACAGAGACCTTAAACCAGAAAACATTTTGTTAAATGAAGACATGCACATCCAGATCACAGATTTTGGAACAGCAAAAGTGCTATCCCCAGAGAGCAAACAAGGTATGCTTGCTTGATTTTTCAGTAGAGCCTTGTTCTGGACTTAAGGCTTACAGCAACATGTTGCATTGTATGGTTATTATCACTAATACAGAGATTCCTTTTGGCTCCTCATAGTGTCATAGTGTGTGAAGTCTATTAGTATGGGAAGGACCAAAGATATTTCTGCTAGTTCTTGCCCCATAGAACATAAGTTACTTGTGAACTAGGGGTAGAGTTGGTGGCATCTATATATACTGCAGGTGGTGTCTTGAGAGCACATCCCTGAACTCTATTGCCTTTCTCTCATCCATCCTTTGTCTTCCCATCTGATGTATATAGCTGCCTGTGATGACCCATGCATCCTCAGGGAAATTCTAGGAAAATTATATGAGCAAGGGCTAATTTTGCCTACTTATTACAAGTTATGTTCAGAGTTAGCACATAGCATTGGATCACATTGTGCCACCTGTAATGTCAGGGGCGGTGTTGCTTAGAGTCCATTTGAACCCGAAAAGTGGGCTGGCTTGTTGCTTTTCTGTCACTGACATCTTCAGTGGCTAGAAATTGCCCACTCTGGATATAAAAAAAGAACAGTTGGACTCCCATGGACTCTGCCACAGCACTGAGTAGAGAGACAATGACCTACTGATGCTGCTGTCGGGGGTGGGGGGGGGGGGGTGGGGGTAAGCTGTCTGGTAGATTAGTAAATGACCTTGATTCTGAAATGCATGTGATTCTTCTGATCTACCTGGCCCTTTTGCCAGGGGTCTCAGAGAGAGAGAGACAGAGACAGAGACAGAGACAGAGAGACACCATCGTTAAGGAAGACTGGGATGTGGTTGGCTACAGGCTTGGAGCACAGTTGTGTTAGTGGAAGGAAGAGTCTGAAAAGCACTTTGCAGTATGTGATTTTATGGCTGTGGCTACTTTTTGGAAAAACATGTAAGAACACAGGGCAGTAGGCTTCTGACCTGATTCCACAAACAGCAAGCCAGTAAGTAGTACATGGGAGCCAGAGAGGATTATAGCTGGGGATCAAATAGAGTTCAGGTCATGAAACAAGTTCTGTTCACATGGTGCTATAGGAGATGGAATCTTGCATTTCCTTCTGTATGCTGTTCCCACACATGTTCTTTGTCAGATTTTATCTGTTCTTTGCCTCTGTACAGTCCTCTTGTATTGGTAACATATCTACACCATCCTTTGTGGATAGCAAGCCTTGCCTTTGAGAAAAGAGGCCTCCTCAGGTGGTATAGTAGTGCCTTTGCTGCCCCTTCTGTCTCTACTAAAATGCCCTGATACCTGCATCTGATTGACTCATTCATTCCTAGTAAGTAGTAGTTATCTTTCTGTCCAACAATGCTGAGTTAGAGACTTGGTATAACCTCATTATAGCCTTGGACATTGACCATTTTAAAGTTGAATCAAATAGCCACCCCATCTCTTAACTCTTTCTTGTGGGGATAGTCTGCCTGTTTTCCCATCATGCCTGTGCTGATTTTTCCTGCCTGAAACCTGGAGCTAGGATGTTGCTGTGATCCTAAATCAGTCTTAAGAGCTCTTCAGCTGGGCTGTGCTTTGGACTTTTTTTTTGTGTAAATTTTCTTCAGAATCTGGCAATTCAGCACAGGACTAACCTTACTGCTCTGTAGCTACTTTTAAAAGTATAAAAATGTAGCACAGCTCTATCTGCCACATGGAAGCTGAATTCTCATGCTCCTTAGGGGCCTGGAGTGAATGGGAAGTGGACCCCTGATATGGGTTCAGCGCATCTGGTGTCCGTACTGTAGCTTGCTGATGAGTGTGTCATGGGTCAGAACTATAGGCAGTGGAATGTAGACAGTCTCTGGGCTGGAAGCCTAAGTCTTTTTGCCCTAGTATCTTGAATACCCAAGCTAGTAATGACTAATAGAGGGTGGTCCCTGATGTGAAACTGTTTATCTGTGCCTGTTGTGTGTTCAGTGTGTATTTAGGTGCCATAGGTCCAACAATGTGCATCACAGACAGGACCTCTGTTCTTACATTGGTTTGCTCCATTGACAAGATGATGGATGAATGTGATGAGTAACCTACAGTTGGGTGTTAGGTAGGAGATACCAGGTGGATAGGGTCTAGCAGGTATCCTTTGATTGCTCAATCTAGTCCAGGTGACCAACTCAGTTGGCAACCAGCTCCCATCTGCTATAATTAGATAACACTCTGAAGAATAACACAAGAGGGCCAGTATGGTTGGGGGCCAAGGCTTGCATTTTCAAGTGTGACCTTTTCTTTTATTTCTCCCTTCACATCGTAGCCAGGGCCAACTCATTTGTAGGAACAGCACAGTATGTTTCTCCAGAGCTGCTCACAGAGAAGTCGGCGTGTAAGAGGTAACCTGTTTTTAATACAACTGCCTTTCTCTTCTTTCTGTGATATCTACTAGGTTTAGTCATGAGGAATTACTATTTGAAAGAGAAATTTTAGTAGCTAAGTATGAGCTTCGTACAGTGATACATCCTTTATAATCCCAAAGGATGAGTTAGGAGAATCACGGGTACAAATCCAGTCATGGTGAAACCTTGCATCAAAGCAAACAAAAGTGGTGTTGCATGCCTTTAATCCTAATACTCAAGAGTCAAAGGCAGGTAGATCTCTGAGTTCAAAGCCATCTTAGTCTATATAGCAAGTTCCCAGACCAGCTGGGGCTACATAGTGAGACCCAAAGAAGTTAGTCTTCTGTTTATTTTTTTAAAACGTATACTTTTCCTTTGATATGCCTGTATTCTACTTTTATAATTTATAATTCCTTGCTGGTTGTTGCTGTTTGGATAGAAAGCTGATCATCTTCATTTAAGAAAGCTGTTCAATGGACAAGTGTGGCTGTCATGCCACAGGATTTTAGCAGGCTTGTGCCTATTGTAGTGTCTTGGGGGTCTTTGGAGGTGGATAGAAGCCCTGGAGAGACAGAGGAAAGAAATTTCTAGCCCAGGGTAGGTTTGGCAGTGATCATAGCATTGAGGTTGTGTGAGAGATGCAACTGGACCTTAGTGGGTGGCCTCAGTAATGAATATCAGAAGCGTGGAGTGTATGGAGTGATGTAGAGTGTAGAGACACTGGAGCAGGCTTTTTTTTTTTTTTTTTTTTTTTTTGCTTGTTAGCTTGTTTGTTTTAATGTTTGTGGGTATTTTGCCTATGTGTATGTCTGTGTACCATGTGCATATGTGGTAGCCCTGAAGACTAGAAGAGGATGTCAGATACCCTGGAACTGCAATTATGGATGGTTGTAAACCACCATGTAGGTTCTGGGAATGGAACTTAGGTCCTCTGGAAGAACAATCAGTGCTTTTAACCACTGAGCCACCTCTCCACCCTCCAAGGGGTAGGGATTCATTTACTTATTTATCTACTTACTTACTTACTTGCTTATTTATTTAAAGACTAGAGGTTAGAGAGTAAAAAAGGAGGGAGACAATGACCTGGGGCCATGCCAGTCAAAGGCATTGTCTTTAGAGACTGAGGACCTACATTAGGATATGCATTTAAGGTTTGAAGAGCAGGTCCAGAGACAGGGTCTGTTCCTTGAAGATGTGGCTGTGTGCTTCTTGTCTTGAGCAAAATTACTCTGTCTGGCGTCTTGTGAGTTCTGAACATAGGTGTCCTGCTTTAGCATGTTGCAAGGGGGTCACCTGTGTAAATGCATGTGGGAATCTGGTTAGGTAGCTCTCTGAGATTGACAGCTTTGGAAAATCTAGGGATGTACCCAGGGGGACAAACAATGGCATCAGAATTTGAGTTATTTTTTTTAAGATTTATTTATTTATACAGTATTTATTTATTCATTTGTTTATTTATACAGTATTCTGCCTGCATTCATATGCATGCCAGAAGAGGGCGCCAGATCTCATTAGAGATGGTTGTGAGCCACCATGTGGTTGCTGGGAATTGAACTCAGGACCTCTGGAAGAATAGTCAGTGCTCTTAACCTCTGAGCCATCTCTCCAGCCCCAGAATTTGAGTTCTTATTGTGGGCCAGACATTGTTCTAGGTCAGATCTTTTGGGTTGTTTGTTTGTTTTTTAATGTGTATAAGCATTTGCCTCTGTTGTATGTATGTTTACCACATATGTGCTCAGTCCTTGCAAAAGGCCCGAGAAGGCATCAGAGCCCCTCAAGTTGAAATTACAGTTGTGAGTTGCCATTGTGGGTACTGAGAACTGAACCTGGGTCCTCTGCAAGAGTAGCAAGGTTAACCTCTGAGCCATCTCTCCAGTCCCTGAAGCTTTTTACTGTTGCAGCTTGGGGTGGGATATGTTAGCCTGTGGTGGATGAAAACCAGGGATGTCACTTAGCATCCTTTAATGTGAAGAAGATGATCTGACCAGTGTTAGCAGTGCCAAATGATGGGTGCTAGTTTCCAGTTTTCCAGGATATATTGTTGCTGAAGAACAAGGCTTTTCTTACTGTCAACTCTTCCTAGTATGGTGAGTATGCCAGCACTGATAGGAAAAGAGCTTCAGGCTCTAGGAAGCCAGGCACAGGAACTGTCAGCATTCAGGGAGGATGTATATATGTGTTTGCTCTAAGTAGTTCATGTTCTCAGGATATATAAAATGTGAGTGAAGGAAATTGTCTGTGAAATCTGAATAGTGTTTTGAGGGAGCCAATACTATGTCTTTTTTAATTTTGAATTTTGTGAAGTCACTAAAATATAGAGGGTTTTTAAAAATGGATTTTTAAATGGAATGCCTATAAAATGTAGTAAACTATAGACAATTAATCTCTATATGTATGTTCCCAAATAGTTTGTATTTTTCTTGTCATTTTTGGTGCATTTATGAATTTTGAAGTTTTCACACATGTGCAGTCATACAGTATATCCAGTATGAGTTCTCTTGGTTTCATGGTGATTAATAGCCTGATTCATTAAAAGTATTTGCATGCATCTTTTCTAGCTGGCATTTTTTCTGTTGCACGAGAGCATCATAATTTATTGAGCTATCCTGTTTCATGGGTGGTGCTGATTTGCCCATGTGTGCCCTGGAGATGATATAAGCGCTTGGCCTCAAGGTTACCCTCTCATCCCTCTGATAAAACAGAGCTGGGGCTCTGGAGTTCCTGCTTCAAGGTTTCAAGACTTGCCCCATCTGAGACTTTAGAAAGCCTTGATATGCTGCTTCCAGAGCCAAAATGCAAATGACAGAATGCTGAGATAGTTCCAGAGGAGAAGCTATCTAAGCCTTTATTGCTTGAGCTCCCACATTCTAGAAGGGACCCTGAGAGGCCTGGGTGGTTTGACCTTACCCTGGCCCTTCTCCTGCTTCTGTGTAGCTACTTTACTACTTTATTTTGTTTGTTTTACTCCCTATTTTACCTAGATAAAGCACTAAAGAAAGCCAGTTGTATAAAATAGTAAGCTAGGTGTTGCAGAGATGGCTCAGTGGTTAAGAGTACTGGTTGTTCTTCCAGAAGGCCCATGTTCAATTCTTATCACCCACATGGTGCCTCACAACCATTTGTAACTCCAGTCACAAGGAGTAGGAGCCCTCTGCTGGCCTCTGAGGGCACTGCATGTACATAGTGCACATACATACATACATACAAACTCATCCACATAAAATAAAAATTTTAAAAATATTGAGGTGGGCATGATAACATGCCTTTTGTAGCAGTTGAGGTAGAAGTAGGTCGATCAGGAGTTAACATCAGTCCTTGGCTCTAGAGGTAGTTCTAGGCCATCCTGGGCTGCATAAGACAGTTGTCTCAAAAACTAAATGCAAACAAATCCCCAAAGTAGTTACATTATATGTAAAATAATTTTTATTTCATTACACTGTCAAATCTTTAACTCCGATTTCTGATATTTAGAATTATGCTCAATCTTGGTGCCTTAACCTACCTGTCCCTGGCCTGCAAGTGCTGGTGACATCAGAGCAAAGACAGAACTTGGCTATAACATTTGCCTCTGTGACTACATTGTTGTCTTGTGGTGGTTGTTGTTTATATCATATGGTGGCAAATTAATTGCTGTCATCCCACAAAACCTGCATACACCTAGTACATGGGGACAGCTGGAAATGGAAGGCAAAATCAGGTGTATCATGACATCTCAGTAACCCAGAGATCACAGGAAAGCAAGACGTGCCAGGAGAATGTTGTGACAAGAAAGGGACCAATCTCAGGACTGGGACATCTAGCTACATTGTTGAAACTACTTAAAGACATTCAAAATGGTACATATTTAAGGTTAAGACAGGAGGATGGATTGAGAATTTTGTGAATTTAGGATCAGCTTGGGCAGCACAGTGAGACTGTGTATCAATAGAAAAAATAATAATTACAAATAAAATGGGTAGTCTAAATGTTTTTAAAAGAGGGGCAGGACTTTCTTGACAGAGTCTGAGAAAGGAAGGACAGAGAGCAGAACATATGTACACCCTGGGAAGGTCCTTTTGAGCCCCACAGGCACCCAGCTTTTGAATCTTTTCTGAGGGGAGCCCAAGTCATGCTCAGAGAGCATTTGAATTAGTTATAGCAGTATCACTCTACAGTGACAAAGGTGTCTCTCCCAGCTCTGCTCCCTAGCACTAGGAGCTTCTTCCTCAGATCTCCTAAATTTTCAAGTAGAAGTTAACACTGGTTAGCATTCTTCAGCTCCACCTTACTTGATATGCAGCAGCCTGGCATAGCATGATGTTGGCGGTGAACTATGTTCTCCTCAGAATGAGACAAGGATGTGTAGAAGTTGTTAACCCTCAATAGACATCTTCAGGGGAGCTAAACCACTTGGTTATTCCTGCCTAGTATAGAACCGTTTGACTCAGGTCACAGGGAGATGCCCAGAAAAGCAAATTCAGACTTCCCACATACCTTGTCTTAAAGGGACAGGAATACGTTGGAGGCTGAAGATAGGGTGGTATAGATAGAGGCTGCAAAATGAACCTTTTTTTATCATTTAAATATACCAATTCCATTTTTCTTTGTGTTTTTCCTACCTTAAAGTTCAGACCTTTGGGCTCTTGGATGTATAATCTATCAGCTTGTGGCAGGACTCCCACCGTTCAGAGCCGGGTAAGAGGAATTCTGTACATCTCAGGCTTCTGAGCCTATCACAGCATACTCCACTGCCAGCAGCTGCTGGGAGGTCTGGACAAACGTTGTGCCCATTGGGGAGGAACTTCAACCATAACTTAAAAATATGTGGTGCCTGGGGAGTTTAGTAAGAGCTGGCCTGGGAGGGTGACATTGGGATGTTCTGTAAAGTGCACCTAGTATTAGAGATTTGAAAAACCCTTGCCCAAATAACAGCAGTTTTTTTTTTAATTCACAGAAATGAATATCTTATATTTCAGAAGATCATTAAGCTGGAATATGATTTTCCAGAGAAATTCTTTCCCAAGGCAAGAGATCTTGTGGAAAAACTCTTGGTAAGTATTTTAAATTTTCTGTGGTGAGAAATCATCATGCTACCTTCTGACTTCTGTCACACTCATGGGCATCCTTTTTGAAAAATGTGTTTAAGATAGACAATAATTATAGATAGTTAAGTATTTTTATCTCATCTCAGTACCTATTTCTTGACTTTAATAATAGAGGAAGTTACTGTATTATTTTGCATGCGTTCATTAACATCACATCACATTTTAAGTGATTGCCACTGAGTGACTGGGTTTATCCCAGTGGTAGATGGCTGTAAATCCTGCTTCAGTGACACCTGCCAATGTCACCTTTAGAATATAAGCTACATAAAGACTTTAAAGATCAACCTAGGTAATAAGGCAGAGAGAAACAGATTTACACAAGAAAGAGGTGTCATTTTATGTTCAAAAACTGGGGCTCTCAGCCCTGTTGCTTTGTACCCTGATGTCCTTTCTTCCTATTTCTTTGAGAATCAGGGCCAGGTCCTATATTCGTGGGTAGGCCCAGGGTTGGCTCTTCCCAGCCATCCTTCTGGGCTCTTTCCTTCATTTCCCTCATTATGGAATGGGCTTAATTCAAACTTGCAGGCATAGGAGTGACTGCTACAGCCTTTAAGAGGTATGATATTCCACCCAGTGAAAGCTTCATTGTTCATTTTCTTTGTTCTTAGAGGGAATCAGTTAACTTTTTCCCTAATGTTAGAAGTTTTACATTTATTTATTTCTGGGACAAGTCTGTTTAGCCCAAGTTATCCTAAAAATGCTTGACAGCCCTCCTGCTCAACTTGAGTGCTAGGATTATAATTATACATCGCCATGCCATGCTTGGCTTTTTGAGTTAGCATTTCTTAATTTTGTTGTTGTTGTTGTTCTTTTTTTTTAAGGTGTTTTTGTTTGTTTGTCTTGTTTTTTTCTTTCTTCCAGACATGATTTCTCTGTGTAATAGCTTCAGCTATCCTAGAACTTGCTTTGTAGACAAGGCTGAGCTTAACTCACAGAGATCTGCCTGCCTCTGCCTCCCAAGTGCTGGGATTAAAGGTGTGTGCTACCACAATCACCTGGCAGCATTTTTGTTCTCAATAGTGAGAATCTCTCTGTCTCTGTCTCTGTCTCTCTGTCTCTCTCTCTCTTTATTCTTTGAAATTTCAGACATTGTGTTTTCAATATATACACTCCCCAACTTCTTCCATTATCATTTTCCCATCCCTTCCTAGCTTTGGAATTTCTTCAAGTCCAGTTTGTGCTGCCCAGATAGTCTTGGGAGTGGGGCCTGCCCTAGTGTGTGGTCAGCGTACCAGGGCTCATATAATTTTACAACATTTTTAGCTGCATGCTTTAAAAAGATGCTTGCTGCCTTGCTTTTCTTTTGATGTTGAGATTTGTTTTACCTGTGGAAAGAAAAGGACAAGCCTTGGGTTGAGTTAAGAGTCCTGGTCAATCTTGGCTTTTTCTACTATGTTATGGGCAGACCGGGGTATGGACCACAGTGTTCCTACTCTTTCCAGAAGATCTCAGGGCTTGAAGACACTTGCACAAAATAAATAAATACTTACATTTCAACCCTGACAGTGACATGTCTTGGCTATCATTTAAGGTTTTAGATGCCACAAAGCGTTTAGGCTGTGAAGAGATGGAAGGGTACGAGCCTCTCAAAGCTCATCCATTCTTTGAGTCCATCACATGGGAGAATCTGCACCAGCAGACACCTCCGAAGCTCACAGCTTACTTGCCAGCCATGTCAGAGGATGATGAAGACTGCTATGGCAACGTAAGCTGGCACCCATGGGGACTAGTTCAGGCAAAGAGAAATCTGCTTGCCATGCTGTATGGTTCCTTGGGACTCTAATTTGTATGATTATTGGTTAAAATGTATGAGTGAATATGGTGGACTTGGTGGTGGGTTAATACTTTGCTCTGATAAGTAAATGGCCAACACACCTTGTGTAGGTATTCTTATTTCTGATTCCTGTTCTTATTTCCTCAGCTGAAATAAGTTCACCTGTTTGGGAGATAGAGATGGGAGGGAGGCCAGGATGTGTTCTGGACCTGTGGATGAGAGACCAGTGTCCTGCCCTAATTTCTCACCTCCTGACACTGGGGCCCTGGAAGCTCATCATTAGCAGCTTTTGTCTCAGAGTCTTTCTGATTTTTTAAAAAAATGTTTTGAAATGCTTATGTTTTTCAAGAGAACCCAGAATGCTACTGATTTGAATTTCCATGGATGTGGTGTGGGAGGGTAGACTCCATTCCCTGTAACTTGATGCTCAGCAGTAGGTGCCTGCTCTGTTTCAGGGATGCTGCCCCTTGGGGTTTGTGTGCAGTTGCTGTCACTGGCTTCAAAGCAGCTTATCTCTGAAGAATTGACAACAGACACAAGACCTTGAATTACCTTTTTTTTTAAAAGTAACTTTTAAAAAAAATATTTGTTTATACACAGTATTTTGCCTGCATATATGCCTGCATGCTAGAGGAGGGCACCAGATCTCATTACAGATGGTTGTGAGCCACCGTGTGGTTGCTGGGAATTGAACTCAGGACCTCTAGAAAAGCAATCAATGCTCTTAACCTCTGAGCCACCTCTCCAGCCCCTTAACTTTTGTTTTAAAACTTTCTGCATTGAAAAATGGGAAACACCAGAAAAAGAGACAGAAATAAGAAGCAATAGTTTCTCCACAATTTGTCTTGTTTTTAAAAGATTTATTTTATGTATATATGAGTGCTCCATCTGCATGTACGCCCTTACACCAAAAGAGGGAATCAGATCCCACTGTAGATGGTTGTGAGCCACCATGTGGTTGCTGGGAATTGAACTCAAGATCTCTGAAAGAAAAACCAGTGCTCTTAACCTCTGAGCCATCTCTCCAGCCCCCACAATTTCAGTCTTATCCAGACTCTGCTCCCATTGTGACCTCCATATTTAATTTTTCTTTTAACAGTTCATTGATTCAAATCAATTCTTTTCATTTGATTTCATTTTCTTGACTTATTCTAACCAGTTGCCATTCATGGAATTCTTTTCAACTGACTGAGCAATTCTGATATTTACTAGCCTGGCGTGTGTGCGTGCGTGCGTGTGTGCGGTGTGGCGTGGCAATCTCAGCATTCAGTAAGCTGAGGCAGGAAGATTGAAAGTTGGGGCTGGAGAGATGGCTCAGTGGTTAAGAGGACTTCTGTCCTTCCATAGGTTGTGAGTTCCATTCTCAGCACCCACATATTGGCTCACAACTGTTTGTAATTCCAGACTCAGGGAATTTCCTGGCCTCTGTGAACATTAAGGACACACATTGTAAGATCGTGCGTGTGTACACACATACACACACAAGCAAAAGTTCCATATACGTAAAATAGTAAATACAAAGATTTTAAGTTCATGGTCAGTCTGGCTACAAAGTCAGGCACTGTCTCAGAACAAGACATACAAACAAACCAACAAAAAAACCCCAAACAAAAGAGGATATTTTAGGGACTGGAGAGATGGCTCAGAGGTTAAGAGCACTGGCTGCTCTTCCAGAGGTCCTGAGTTCAATTCTCAGCAAACACATGGTGGCTCACAACCACCTATGATGAGATCTGGTGTGCAGGCATATACGCAGGCAGAACGCTGTGTATATAATAAATAAATTTTTTTTTTAAAGAGGACATTCTAAAGCTAAATTAAAAGCATTGCTGTTTTTGCCTCTTAGAGGTCAAGGAATTATCTGTCTTTTACTTGATGTTTGGCAATCCCCATTTTCTCCTAAAATGCCCTTTGTGCCCAGACTTGTAGAGAATGAAACTCAAGTGCATCTATGTGGCCAGTGGCCATTTTTCGCATGTGTTCACTGCAGAGAAAGGCCCTGAGCCAGGAGTTCCTGCTCCTGCCCACTTTCCTCCTAAATGCTCATGAGTGGTGTCCTTTTGGGTCACGTCAGAGGGTGCTGGTGAAAACCTTGGTGTCCTCTTTTAGAACTCTTACTCCTGCAGAAGTTAATCAGGACTGACAGGCAGTCCTTCAGCCAATGGGTTCTGACCCTTCCTATCACTCCCAAAGGCAACTGATCTTTGTTTTTGTAGACACGGTTTCTCTGTGGCTTTGGAGGCTGTCCTAGACCAGGCTGGTCTTAAACTCACAGAGATCCGCCTGCCTCTGCCTCCCCAGTGCTGGGATTAAAGGTGTGTGTCACCAACACCTGGCTAGGCAGCTGATCTTTGAAAGGGCTGAATGGGCTCCATTATTGTCGATCTTAGTAGCCAGGAGCATTTCTTCATGTCTATTTTACATGCATGTACACCTATATATACATCTCTGAAGGCCTGTGACTGCTGTGGGGCTGTGCAAGCATAAATTCTGCAGAGTGCCACTGGGCAACAACAAGAAGGTAGGCATAGGACTTGTAGACTCTGCAGAGGGTAGGGACTGACCTCTGTGGAGTATAGTAGACAGGGCTCTCTTTCTGGAAATTCAGGGTATGGAAGGCAGGACTCAGGAGTATGAGGCCTGCAGCCAATATAATTGCTGCCCAAAGTGGCCATATCTACCTTCACCTATGATCAAAGATTTTTGGCCCTGTCATTGCCTGGGAGTGTGCTAGAATGTGAGCTGCCCATTCTGCTTTCTGTGTCAACACTGGCTTGTAGGTTTTTACCCCCGCCCCTAGAATCATTGCTGAGATTAATGAATATTTTAAAAAAAACAAATGTAAACTAAATCAGACTATGCAGTGACCCTGAAACTTAAGATCCTAGGACTAAAAGAGAAGTTTGCCCAAGCATTGAGTTCTTAGCCAGAGGGTAGCTTCTCTAGAGTGTAGTGCTGGGTAAGGGTCCCAGATTCTTTCTCCCTGGAGATGAAGGATGTAGTGTAGCCCCTCTCTGACCTCTGTTTCTATCAGAAGAAGGACCTGTAGCAGGAAGGTCCAGCCTTGCCTTGGTTTAGTGGTCAAATGGCCATTGGAAGAAAGTCTGTCTGTCTACAACAAAAAGGACAGGTAGTCCGTCTGGCTTTGAAGTTTGTGTGTAAGCTTACCGGGTTTTGAGCGGCTATGGGGCCAGGCAATGTGGGAGGCAGTCTTTGAACTTACAGACAGATTAAGATACGTCTCTCCTTTCTTTTTTCCTTGCAGTATGACAACCTCCTGAGTCAGTTTGGCTGCATGCAGGTGTCATCCTCCTCCTCTTCCCACTCACTGTCTGCGGTGGATACCAGCCTACCCCAGAGGTCGGGCAGCAACATAGAGCAGTACATCCATGATTTGGACACTAATTCATTTGAACTAGACTTACAGTTTTCAGAAGATGAGAAAAGATTGTTATTGGAAAAACAAGCCAGTGGAAACCCTTGGTAAGAACTGTAGGCACGGGCACCCATCTAGAAATACAGGGTGCATGGGAGCAGACATGGGCTGGTTGCTTGTCCTTGCCTCACCTCTGCAGTGCTCTTCAGAGGAGCAGGTTCCCAGAGGTCATTAGGGTACCTTGACTGGGGCTGGAATTACATTGTATTCTTATGTTTTTACATCTTTATAAATTGATTTTAAGGCGCACATATATGAAAGCTGTATTTTGCCAGCATTTTCTTCTTCAACTTACCTCTCAGTCTATTAGAGGATATTGTTTTATAGTTGTAAATTTTTATGATGTCCACCTAACCTGTTCCTGTTCTAATCTTGTTTTCCATCCAAGTCTACTTGGCTTCAGTATTTTTATCTGGCACCCCCACCTTTTTTTTGTTGCTGTTTGCTTGTTGTTCTTTTTGAGACAAGGCCTTACCTTGGCCTAGAACTTGCCATGTAGACTACGCTGGCCTCAAAATGATATAGATCTACTTGCCTCTGCCTCCCAAGTATTAGAATTAAAGATGTATGCCATGACTGATGCTTGATTACCTTAATTTTCTTCCAGTATTTTTATGCTTCTATTTTAAAATTTTATTCTCTGACAATTTTATACATATATACATACATACATACATACATACATACATACATACATACATACAATATATTTTGAGCATATCTACTCCCATTATGCTGAGGCCTTTTTATGACAGAAGTGTCTCTCAGGAATAATGTGTATTTGGGTGCAATGGGAGGAGGAAAATTGAGTTAAGGCAGGAGAGAGAATAGAATGTACAAGACTCAGGAGACTTTATGAAGAGGGAGAACGAAACTTTCGTAGCTTTTCAGTGACATGCAGATGACTAAGACTAGAATGTCTTACCGTCAAAACTTATTTTCTCTAGAAAAATTAAATATAGATTCTGCTCTCCTAGAAATAACCTACAATAATTCTGGAGAGTATAAATTTGTCCCTTAACTCACTCATTTCTAAAGTATTATTACTATTACTATCAGGGATAGAAAAGAATTTTGGTTTTGCTTTTTTTCTCTCTTTTGTTTTTTTTTGTGGGGGCGACGACAGGGTTTCTCTTGTTTCTTTGGAGCCTGTCCTGAAACTCACTTTGTAGACCAGGCTGGCCTTGAACTTACAGAGATCTACTGGGTACTGGGATTAAAGGTGTGTTCCTCCACCACCTGGATTTTATTTATCTTTTTATTATTTCTAATTATGTGTATTTGTGAGTCTGTGCACATGATTGCAGGTACCCGAGGAGGCCAGAGGTATTGGATTCCCTAGAGCTGGAATGACCGGTGGTTATGAGCCACCTAATATGTAGGTGCTGGTAACTAAAGTCAGGTCCTTTGGAAGAGCTGTAAATGTTCTTAAAAGCTGATCCATCTCTCCAGCTCCTTATTTGTTTTTATTTATTTATTTATTTAATTTTTAGTTTTTATTTTTTTTTGAGACAGGGTTTCTCTGTAGCTTTGGAGCCTGTCCTGGAACTTACTCTGTAGACCAAGTTCGTTCGAGCCTGGCTGTGGAACTTACTGAGATCCACCTGCCTCTGCCTCCCAAGCTTTGATCATGCCCAATCAGTTTTTTAAGTGTTTATAGTTCTTCACATATTCTAGATGTTAATCCCTTATGTGAAGTGTGGCTGGTAAATACTTTATCCAATTCTGTAATCTAGGAAGATTTTTAATCAGAGTGATTTGAGCAGGTCCTAGCTGCAGTTCCAAGCAGGAGCTTTGTGTGTCTGCTGAGTCCCACTCTCCTGCTCTCTGTAGTTTCATGCAGGAGCCTTCCTCTTCAGGGTGTGCATGTTTCAGCTCCCCCAGAGTTTCTCCTGGGGCTGTGAGTGCTAGTCAGCGCAGGAGGATTACAGTGTCTTGCTCACTTTCTTTGGGTTTGGGATTCTCTGCCATTTCCTCAAGATTTCAGGTCTGGGGCCAGGCGGTAGTGGTAGTACATACCTTTAATCCCAGCACTTGGGAGGCAGAGTCAAGAGGGATAGTTCTGAGGTGTGTATAGATAGTAGAGGAGAGAAGGAGAGAAACAGGCTTTGGAGCTGGGGCTCTGACTCTGTGATAGATGCTTGCCTTAGGTTCAATCCCCAGTACCACCATAAAAAAGAACGGAAGGAAGGAAAAAAGAAAGAAAGCAGGCAGATAAATATTAAGTAGTAGTGGATTGTGGTGTTGCTGCTGCTAATGGAGCTTTCTTGGCCTCTGTTTCCTGTGCCCTTGGATCCTGGACAAGTGACAGTTCTCAAATATGCACACACTACTCCCCTGAAGACTTAGAGGATGTTGGGCTGTGAGTGCATTCTCTATGTGCAGAGTGAACAAAGGGCACGCTGGTGCTTGTTTATAGGAGCATGTTTGCTTCCTGTGTTGTTTGCTCCCCTCCAGTGCTCTCATTAGAAAGTCTCTGCTTATGCTAAACTGTTACAGGGTGTGCCTGTTAGGTGGGCTTTCTGGCAGGCCCTGCAGTGTTACCTGCACATCCTTGTGCTTTGTACCTTCGATGTGGCAGTCGGCCTTCCTTACTAGTGTGCTTTTCAGAACCCACATGTTCTCCCTGTGTTTCAAGCTGGGTGTTTGGTTAGCAAATACCAACCAGAGAATGTGTACTTCTTTTTTTTTATGGGTCACTGTCCTGTCTTTGTTCAGAATCTTAGTTGTTCTCAAAGTCTACACAGTGCTATTTTGTGTGTGACTTGAGACCAAGATTTTGGTTAGGCAGTGTGCTTTGGAAAGGTGGTCTGGTTGTTTTTGTGTGGGTCAGGTAGTGGGGCCTAGAGGGTTCTGCTCATAAGTGCTCTGGCTCCTCAGGGTGGATCTACATGCTTGATTTAGATAGACAATTTTTAGACAGAAAATGTGACTTTAAATTTATTTATCTTTATTTTATGTGCATTGGTGTTTTGCCATGGGTGTCAAGTTCCCTGGAACTGGAATTACAGGCATCTGTGAGCTGCCACATGGGTGCTAGGAATTGAACCCAGGTTCTTTGGAAAAGCAGTCAGTGCTCTTAACTACTGAGCCATCTCTCCCGCCCGACTTTTTTTTTTTGGTTTTACGAGACAGGTTTCTCTGTATTGTTTTGGAGGCTGTCCGTCCAGCCCGGCCTCGAACTAACAGAGATCCGCCTGCCTCTGCCTCCCGAGTGCTGGGATTAAAGGCGTGCGCCACCAACGCCTGGCGCCTTTTTTTCTTAATAGTAGAAGTGGAATCAGACAGGATATAGGGCTGAGCTCAGGTAGGTAAAGTGCTTTCCTGGATACACAAAGCAATGGGTTCTATCATAGTATCAAAAAAAAAAAAAAGTTCCATGAACAGGTATTTTAAAGGTAGCTTTATGGAGGCTAGATAGATGATTAGCGGTTAAGAGCACTGACTGCTCTTCCAGAGGATCCTGGTTCAATTCCCAGCATCCACATGGTAGCTCACAACTGTCTGTAACTCCAGTTCCAGGTAATCTGACACTCTCACAGACACACATGCAGGAACACCAAAGTGCATAAAAATTAAATTAGATTAAAAAATAAAAAGAAAAGGTAAGTTTTAACCCAATAAAGTAGCCTTATATGTTAAACCATCTCTTACTCTGAGGAGATAAAAGTGAGGTACACACATACTCATGTAGTAAGTCAAACCAAATTCTTTAAAAAAAAAATTAACATTATTTATTGTTTGTGCCCATGGAAGTCAGAGGACAACTTGGAGGAGTTAGTTTTCTCCTTCCATGTGTTCATGCCATAGTATATGTGTAAAAGTAATAGGATAACTTATAGGAGTTAGTTTTTTCCTTCTACCACGTTGTTCCCAGGGATTGAACTTGGTCATTAGGTGCCCTTACCTGTAGATCCTCAGACCAAATACTTTATTTTATTAATACAGTTTGTTTATTCTATGTGTTTCTCACATTATGTGTCTTGATCCATTCAAGCCCCGTCCCTTCACACCCTCCCTCTACCCCCTCCAAAATAAAATTCAAGAGAAAAAAAAAAAGAAGAAGAAAATAAAATGAGAAAAAAAGTTAAAAGGCGGGGGAGGAATTAAAAATATGATTGCAAGTGTTCATTGCAAAGAGTCATTGGTCTGGTTCCATTACCCTGGTCAGATCAAATCCTTGACATATTTCAATAAATGTCTTTTATCAATATTGTAGAAATGTTGGAAAAAATACTCCCTCACTCCCATCACCATCTTGGGAATTGAAACCCCAGGGCCTTAGTGCCTGGCCCATGTTAAACAGTCCCTGAACCATTAAACAATACACCTTAACCCAGAAAAGATATCCTGGAGCTATCTTTTAAGGATTTGTGATTCCATAGAATTCTGCATTCTAGGCACTGTTAGGTGTCCTGGCTTGGGAATTCAGTTTTATCCAAACCTCTGTGAGAACTTCTATGTCTCCCAAGTGCTCAGATTAAAGTTGTGCAGCACCACACCTAGCCCCAGTGTAGCTTTTTAACATGATAATTAAGATGATGTTGATGTTATGTGTTATCTTGTTTCTGTGGCACTGTCTCTCAGCCTTCCTCTACTGTGCTGATATCTATCTCCAACTGGAAGATGACCCCAGGGAATGTAGATTCTGGCCCACATGTACAGATAAAATCTATACACGTTATATCACTGTATCTTGGGTATCTCCTGTACCTGAAGAGAGGCTGAATTTTGGGGTGTTTGGGAGGCAGACTTGATTGATAGAAAGTCTACAGAGGCCCCATGGAGTTTATCCAAAGGACAGAGTTTGGAGAACTGCTGTCTCATTCGTCTTTCTTTTTTAGGCACCAATTTGTAGAAAATAACCTAATACTAAAAATGGGCCCAGTGGATAAGCGAAAGGTGAGTCAAGTCCCTGACGCTCTTCATCCTATCACTGCCTACTGCTCCTAGCTCAGATTAGTTCTTCATCCTGGGGTCCTGTCATGATTTGTTGGATATGATATTTAGGCATGATCTTTGGAGATCACCTCTAGATTTTATAACTGGGAACACTTAGGCTTTCAGGGAGCAGTGGAGGCATGTGGAAACCCAGCCATGTGCTCTGGCCACAGGGCGTGCTTTCTCGTGGTTTCTCAAGGCCCATCTCACTATGCTAAGGGTTCTGTCACATTAAGGAAAATGTATCATTTCTGAGAATCAAGCAAGTAGTCCTTCATTAGAAGATTTGAAAATAGGGGGCTGGAGAGTGGCTCAGAGGTTAAGAGCACTGACTGCTCTTCCAGAGATCCTGAGTTCAATTCCCAGCAACCACATGGTGGCTCACAACCATCTACAATTCAATCTGGTGCCCTCTTCTGATACGTAGGCAGAACACTGTATATGTAATAAATAAATAAATAAATCTTTAAAAAAAAACCAAATATATATATATATATATAAAGAAGATTTGAAAATATAAGAATTATCATTTATTATGTTTGTTGTTTGTTTCTGAGACAGGGTTTCTCTGTGTAGCCCTGGCTGTCTGGGAACTATCTCTGTAGATCAGGCTGGCCTTGAACTCACAGAGATTTGCCTGCTGCCGCCTCCTGAGTGCTGGGGTTGAAGGTGGGCCACCACTGCTGTTTATTACATTTTATGGGTAACAGATAGTAGTGCAGGATATATTAGACTCAACTAACGGGGGCTTCCTAACCTCCTCTCCTGGCTGTATATATTCTGGAAGTGAGAATCTCCATGAAGGTGGGCTGAGGCCTGGCCTACCCAAGGGCAGACTCTACCTTAGAGAAGCTGGGAGACCAGGGTACTCTATGCTAGCTATTGATGGGCACATTGTGAGCTAAATAGCAGAGACCTGTACTTATGTTTTCTTGATGTAAGATGCTGAGCCTAGGTTGAGAAGGAGGTTTCTTAGGTGAATACATAGGTAGCAGGCAGTCACTATGCCCTGAGATACTTACAAGTTAGTCCCATCTGTGGCTTGGTCAAACAGTTTGTTTATTTATTTATTTGTACCAGGGTTTATTTGCAAGACGACGGCAGTTATTACTCACAGAAGGGCCACATTTATATTATGTTGATCCTGTCAACAAAGTCTTGAAAGGTGAAATTCCATGGTCACAAGAACTCCGACCAGAAGCCAAGAATTTTAAAACTTTCTTTGTCCACACGGTGAGTCTGTCCCTATAAGGCCTCTGATTGTAGTGTTCACCACAGGTTTCTGCATTTCTGTTGGAAGTGTCCCATGTTTTGGCCAAGGAAGCATCTATGGTCAGGTCAGCTTCCTGTGTCTCAGAGATCTGTAAGAGCAACTTAGGCCTGAATTGGGCCAGGAGATACTCTGCTTGATTTTTGCCTTCTGTAGGTCACCTGCCCATGTACTTAGTTTCTGCACTTGTAGAATGAAGAAGCCCACTGTGCCCACAGGCTTCAAAAAGGTGCTGACAGCATTGACAGCAAGACAGGCTGGGTGGGGGTGGGACTCCTGGAGGACACCAGATGCTCTGTCTTTGCAGCCTAACAGGACGTATTACCTGATGGATCCAAGCGGGAATGCTCACAAATGGTGCAGAAAGATCCAGGAGGTTTGGAGGCAGCGGTACCAGAGCCATCCAGATGCTGCTGTGCAGTGACGCTGCCTGCGGCCGGGCTGCCTATCGCTGCCAGGATACCTGCCCCAGCGCGGCTCGGCCGCCATCCAGGACGCTTCCAGACCACCTGCCAGCCTTCTCAAGGAGAACATGGATGGTGGAAACCTTGCAGCTTTTTTATTTAAAAGAAAAGAAAAAAAAGAACCCAGCCACACAAAGAACAAAATAACCAACAAACAGGAATTCAGGGTCGCTTTGCTTGCTCTCTGTGCTTTGTGGTGGCTTCCATGCACTGCTGTGGCCATGGAGACCCAGCTTCTTGCACGGTAGCCCAGCTTCTGCCCAGACCAGTGGCCATGTTTGGCATCACCAGCCCCTCCTTAGCATCCACAGGAACTGCATGCCTGCTTCTACCCTTCCCCGCCAATAAACACAGCTCCTGCTGTGACTGAGGGACCGGGTGTATCTGGCTCTCCTTCACCAGGAAGCCTCTTCACTCCTCTGCTGGGGTGGTCACCAGCTCACTGTGGGTACAGGGCTCTTAGCTTGTGTGTGTACTCCCTTCCTTGAGTCCTTATATGGCCCTAGAGATGTGGTCAGGTGTGCTTCCAGTGGCAGTATTTCTGTGGTTCCTGCCTTACAGTAGGCAGGTTGTATGGTGAGAAGTATGCAGCTGCTATAGTTACAGGCTGCCCTCATTGAACTCTGCTCCATCATTCCACTTCCTAGAAGTTCATCCAGGGAATTAGACACCAAGCCAAACGTGTGTCCAGGAGGGTTGCTGTCATACCAGCACCTAGACAACACCAACTAGATCATTTATCCGATACAGAATCCTGTCTTGAACCAGGACAAGGCTAGAAGTACCATGGAGAATCTAGCCTGGGCCACAGCTCCCATCTGGAGGAGTGGGGCAGCAGGCCTTCCTGGGAATTTCTGCAAAGGTTTAAATGTGTAGGCCACTGCCCATGAGGCAGGGACTGAGAAAATCCCAGGGTATATGCCAATTTCCTGTGCAGCCTCAATGTACCTATTAGTGCTGTGGGTAAATACTTCTCAGCTAGCTCAGTTTTTACATCTCTGTTGAAAATCTGAAAGCCTTCTCATGTTGCCTGGTCACCTGGTATCATAAAGCATGAACTTTGCCTGGAAAGAATGTTACCACTGTCTGGCTCATAGGAACAGCCCACTTAAATCTGAGCCTGCCTGTGCTGGAATTCTTTGCCAGTATTGGGACATTTCTCTTATGCTAAGCTGACAGTGCTTTGTTCTGTAACACAGATGGCCTGGGATATTTTGGCACTCTTGCAGAATGCTTCTGAGGGACTTAGTTGTACCTTTCTTTCTGACTAGGATGTCCCTAAAGGGTGGCCCTTGGGTCCCTAGTGGGGAAAAGTAGGCACCTGCCTTCATAGACTGCTCACAGCAACATCTCTGACTCCCATGTCCTGAAGGCAGCAACAATTTTGCCTTTTTTTTTTTTTTTTTTGGTGACTTTCACAAAGGCACTCCAAAAAATGCCCACACAACAATTACCCCAGTTCTGTCCACAGTGAGCACCTGTGGGCCAGGCCACCCAAACCGAGAGGGGAAAGATTCTGTTCTTAAATTTTAATAAGAGTGCTTCTTTCTAACTGGGGTGGAGTGTAGATGAAAAGCTCGCCATCATGCCTTGGCAGGGATGCTGGATGGGAGCAGGGGTTTTCTTCAGACTTTGCTAGATTGTGTGATAAGAGGTTCAGGTGACCAAGGAGCAGGTGTCAGGACCTCACCTGCCCCCAGGACCTAGGGAACAGATAGCCCAGCACACTGTCAGCCTGTGAGTGAAAACGGGCACTCTCTCTCCTGGTTTTTTGAAGAATCTGTGTTAGCTACACTTGGCTGTCTCCTCCTTAGAGTCCTGTTCTTGCTCATGCCTTGTGGCTATTTAGCTCTCAAAACTATCCTATAACCTGCCTTTGCATGTGTAAGAGTGGCTTCCTGGCTGTCCCATGAATGCAGACACAGGGAAGGTATCTCTGAGGACACTTAACTACAGGGTACCACGTGGGGCTGAGGCGTTGCTTGAATTAGAACACCTGGCTGGCTTATGGGAGAGTCCTCTGTTGTTTTCTCTCTGGGGAGCAACACTACCTCCTGGGCTTTACCAAGCACCATCCTAACCTCCAAAATCAGGGTTTAGCTGAACTGGTAGTGGGTGGCCATGATGACTGCCCTATGCTACAATAGCTGAGCTCTTCCCAGCTCACCTTTATCCTTACTGCCTCCTTTTCCTTGTTTGTTTGTTTGTTTGTTTGTTTGTTTGTTTTTCTTAAAGAACCATATACATTCTTTTCTTACCCGGACTTAGATCATTTTCAGTTTTTTCCAGTCATCCCTAGAGTCAGCACCTAGTGTGCAGGTGCCTTACACTGTAGGACAGGACAGGATGGGGGTGTTAGTTTGTACAAGTGTGTGTGTGTGTGTGTGTGTGTGTGTGTGTGTGTGAGAGAGAGAGAGAGAGAGAGAGAGAGAGAGAGAGAGAGAGAGAGAGAGAGAGAGAGAGAGAGGAGAGAGAGGGAGAGAGAGAGAGAGAAGGAGAGAGAGGGAGAGAGAGAGACAGACAGACAGAGACAGAGACAAAAAGAGAGAGTAAATGGGGGATCTAGCTAAGGAGAGAAGGAAATGCCCCCATTAGTAGCTCTAGATGTTGTGTGTTCTAAGAACAGCAAGATGTCCTCTGGCTTCTCTTACCTAGGACTGTACCTCACAGCCCACTGGCCCTGCCTTTTCTTGGCATCACATGAAGCTGAGCTTGAATGGGTCATTTCCACCTGTTTTTCTGTACTCTGGTTGGGCAGTGAACATCCCCATGTAGTTGAGTCTAGGTACTCTAGAGTTGCACCATGGCTCAGCTATCATTCTAAGCTCTATCCTGGTAGATGCAGTAAAAAAGCCCTTTGAGAAAGATGGCTTGTATTAGGCTGGTAGAAACTTCACCTGCTGCAGCCCTTTTTGGGCCACCCTAGTGTTTATGGTCTATGCTTGAAGTAACCTTGCAGATATTCATGTGTGGCACAGATTCCCAGTGCCAGCAAGGAGGCAGGCAATTGTGTGCTTTCTTAAAAGTAGTATCTGTTTTCTGAAAGTAAAAGAAAGAAAAGAAAGAAAGGCCCATCATTCAGAGACCACTGTGTGCATTTTAATGTAGATCCTGCTCTTCCCTCCCCAGCTTTTCCTTGTTATTGTCGTCGTCGTCCCAGTGCTGGGAATTGAATCAGGGCACTCAGGAGGGCAAAGCAAGTGCTCTACCACTGAGCTACATCCTCAGCCCTTGTTTGCTTTTTAAATCAAACTTGGGGCGTACAGCATACATCATTTTGTATCCAGCCTTTTCACTTGACATTTTTTCCCTTAGCATTTCTCCATACCATGAGCAGTTCTTCAAAAGCGTGTTTTTAATAATTGTGGACCCAAATGGTTGTAAATTTGTAAGTTATCCAACTGTTTCTCTGTTGTAAAACATTGAGATGGTTTTGGAGTTTTCTGTTTGTTTGTTTTTTTTTTTTTTTTTTTTTTGCTATTTAAATAATGCTGTAGTGAATATACCTATCCGTCTTTGATTTTTACCATGATTTTTTTTTCTCTCCCTTACATGCCTGCAAGTGGTATTTTTTGGGTCAAAGAATTTGTGCATTTCACAGCTATTCCTCCTCCTTGGTCCAATGTTTAGATGCTCTGAGTTCTAGTTACACCTCCTTTCTCATGTCCTACAGATTTTGAACACATCAGTTCCTGCTTAGCTGTGTATTCCCCACAAAGTTTGACTAGGACCGCTCTTTTTTTTATGCTGAAATTTTATTACTGCATATCCATTTGTGACAGATTTTTCCATAAGCCAGTTTCTTCATTTTCATTGCAAGAGTCTGATCGTGCATGTTACTTCTCTTCCATCTTTGCTGCTATAGCTTCCAAGTGCTTGGTGATGTTTTCAGAAACTTGTACTTTGTGTCCACAATGGTACTGAATCTGCTTCTGCAAAGTCAGCAGAGATAAAGTGTTAAACTGACCATGCCACATGCTTAATGGGTAATCATAATTAAGTTTATAGACTCAGAAAGTGCATTTGGGCCATTTGGGGATCAGTAGCAAAGCTCTAATTGAAAAAGAAACCATGTAGATGATTGGGTTTTATGAAAGTATAGTTGTGTCCTTGTTCCACTCCTCCTCAGGTTAGCAGTTGAGGACAGCACAGTGGCCAAGCCTTTTCATTGCAGAGGAGGGTATCCCAGCTGATGTTTATGTAAACCTTGCTGTGTGCTGCAGGTAATTATGGTCTTCTAATACAGCCCATCTAACCAAATTGGGTTGTGTCTTTATTTGTGTTGGGTGGGGCCTGTTGATTCTATTTGAAAACATGCAGTGGAGTATTTCTGGGCACCAGTGTTATTCAACTCTACCAGAGCCTAGGGCTTAAGAAATTAGCTACCTGCTTTCTGAGGCCTCAAGGCTTCTCCCTACTGCTCCATAGACCCAAGGTGCTCATATCTGAGACTTGGAAGGCTGTGGCAGCTCTGAGTGAGGATACCATGTTCCAAGAAATGCTACTGTACACCTTTTCCATTTTGTTGTTGTTTAGCAAAACCCAACATAAATTGACTCCAGTGGGTGTAGCATCTCTTATGTAGAATGTATGACAAGGACCCTGGCAGATTAGACAGGGCTGGGACCACTCAGAGCCTCTGAAGATAACTGGCTTCTGGCCTAATACCTAAGGGTTATAAATCAGAATGCTTGTGGAAAAGTGGCCTAGGAAGAAAGCTGTTTCTGTCAAAGCACCTTTGCAGTGATGAGCAAATGAATTAACCGATATGAATACCTGAAAATCCCCTGTAATTCTTTACTTCCATATGAAGAATTCAAGCTGTACAGAAGGTTTTACAAAAGGCAAATTTTCCTTTCCTTATGTAGTCCACCCTAGTTTAATCATCTGGGTTAATGACTACAAGTGAGTCATTGTGCAGGTGAAAGCCTCCATTATGACCACAGTTTCATTGGACATTGTCAAATTAAACTGTTACAGTATTTAGAGCTGCTGCGGCTGTTCCTTAGCCACGTACAGTAGGATGAATCAATAGTCTATTGCTGTCATTCAGGTTGGTAGCAGTCAGTTAGAACATGTATAATATTCTCTACCTGGTCTGTAGCTGTAACTGTGATGTACAGGCAAAGCAAAAATTAAAAATACTTATGAAAACAGATAATGCAATGATACTAGGATATACACTTTTGTATTTTTATTCTTATATAAGGTTATTTGCTGGCTATTGTCGGCCTCTAGTTCAGTCTGTTATTTAAATTCTAATATATGAATTATTTGGATTGAATTCATGTTTGGGGCCACGTTGTTGTATGTATTGATGTACAGCCTTGAATGTGAATAATTATTGTAAACTATATTTTACAACTTTTTTCCTGGCTTTATTATATAAATTTTCTATTTGGTCATGGTTTAATCATATAATTTAATGAAAAAATCTTTCTCTTTTTTTCAAATATCTGTGCTTTAGATGTATTACCGGATGATGGATTTCCCTCGTATGCTCGGTAGTCTTGTAATAAAAGCATGTAGAGTGTACGCGTTCGCCATCCTGGCTCCTCTTTTGGCCGGGGCGGGGCAGGGCGGGGCGGGGTGGGGGCGGAGCTGGAGCCCAGGATTCCTGTGAGAGAGAACCCGAGGCTCGCTCTGACCGGAAGCGGTTGTCGCCGGCCTACTTTTCGAGCCGGAATTTCCGCCTTGCGCATCCTGTCTGGGCGGGCACTTTACTGGGGTGGACCTATGGGCGGGACAACTCATAGGACTGTATTAAAGAACGGACGCTTCCGGCGAAGGGGAACTGTGGCGGGGCTTGTTGGGATCATGGCGGAGAATCACTGCGAGCTGCTGCCGCCGGCTCCGAGCGGCCTCGGGGCGGGGCTGGGGGGCGGCCTGTGCCGCCGCTGTAGCGCTGGGCTCGGCGCCCTGGCACACCGCCCCAGTGGCGTGTCCAAGTGGGTCCGGCTCAACGTCGGCGGCACCTACTTCCTCACCACCCGGCAGACGCTTTGCCGGGACCCGAAGTCTTTCCTGTACCGCTTGTGCCAGGCGGACCCCGACCTAGACTCAGACAAGGTGAGGGCCTCGTGGGCCAGCGGGGGCCGACCGCCCAGGTCGCCATCCGCGGCACACACTTCTCCACACCGAGGGCACTCAGCGGAGCGGGCACTCTGAGCCCAGAGTCCTGGGCCGGAGGGAGGATGGCACTCTCGTGTCCATCAGCCTCAGCCCTCTGCAGTGCCCCTCTCCCTCGCCTTGCCTTTCATGCTCTTCGGTCGAGAAGGACCCGGCTTTACTGTGGCTCTAGTTTCTTTCTTCGTAGGTTCTTTTGCTCAGGGTGTGTGAACACCATCGCCCTAGCTATTTGCTGGCTTTGGAACCTGAGAACCCTTTGCATTCATCTGGTCTTTTCACATTCCGGACGTTTAAATTAACGTAGGCCATGAGGGTTGACACAGTGGCTGCCTTTTTCCCAGTGACTTGCAGAGTTTGTGCTCCATCCTTCTCATCCATAATATGAACGGGCTCCAAAGCTATTACAAAGTGTCCAAAGGTGTCATTTTACTTCAAGTATATGAATTATTTGTATTGAATTCATGTTCGGGGCCAGATGTAGAAAAACCTTAGAGTTGTCTAAGAAAGACCAGGTGTAGGATCCTTTTGATTAGCTTTCCAAACTTGGTTTCCCCACAGCCTTTGCAAAAGGGTAGTAATTTCCAGGTTAGTTTGTAGTTTATCTTGCATTTAATTAAACACTAACACTGTTAAACCTGACATAAATAGAGAACATTTCTATTACAAGAGTTGCGTGGCATAGTGCATAACTGATGTCTCAGAACGGCAGTATTGAAATTTAGAAAAAACTAGTTTCCTCAATTCTTGAGTTACTGCAAGATAACCAAGAAGTTAGGGTTTGAGATAAGAAAGTGTCTAGAAATAGGCTTTTGTCAACTGGGTTTTCTTTTTATAGTGAGGGTGTATTTTTTTTTATTGGTTTCTCAAATAATGAGTGTTTATAACCATTCTTGTCTTTCTACTCAAGCATCCCTGTCTTGTCTGTTACATCAGATTTTATTTTTGTGGGTTTTTTTGTTTGTTTGTTTGTTTGTTTGTTTGTTTCGTTTTTCGAGACGGGGTTTCTCTGTAGCTTTGGAGGCTGTCCTGGAACTTGTTCTTGTAGACCAGGCTGGTCTTGAACTCACAGAGTTCTGCCTGCCTCTGCCTCCTGAGTGCTGGGATTAAGGGCATGCACCACCACTGCCCGGCTACCCCAGATTTTAAATTGGCCTCATCAGTTGACTCTAGTGTCTGCCTAATTTTAGCCCTGGAACAGTGGATTTAGAACTGTTTCACTTTAGCATGGCTAAAGTCAAATCCATCTCTTCCTCCTACTGCCTCTTAAGATTACTTTATAGATTAACCTTTATTGGGCCAGTGAGATGGCACCTGCTGCCAAGCCTGACAGTTTGAGTTAAGTCTCTGGGACCCACATGATGAAAATAAAAAACTGACTCTTGAAAGTTGTACTTTGAACTAGGTGGTGGTGGCACAAGCCTTTAATCCCAGAACTGGGGAGGCAGAGGCAGCTAGAGCTGAGTTTTAGGCCAGCCTGGTCTACAGAGTGAGTTCCAGGGCTGCACAGAGAAATCCTGTCTCAAATCTCAAATTACCCCCCCCCCCCAAAAAAAAGAGGCTGAAGAGATGGCTCAGTGATAAAAGCATGGGCTGCTCTTCCAGAGGACCCAGGTTCAATTCTCAGCACCTCCATGGCAGCTCACAACTGTTCTATAATTTTAGTTTCAAGGGATCTGACACCCTCAACAGACATATATGAAAGCAAAACACCAATGCACATAAAATAAAAAGTCATTAAAAATTTTTTTAAGTTGTACTCTGACCTCCAAGTATACATTATGGTACTTGTGTGCCCACACATACATAAATAAATGTAACTCTGTGTGTGTGTGTGTGTGTGTGTGTGTGTGTGTGTGTGTGTGTGTGTGTGTGTGTGTGTGTTTCCTTTACTGCAATGGGAAATTCTCTTATCAGGTTATGTTGTAGTTGATTTTTTAAAAATTATTTCAGAGCTAGAGAGTTGGCCCAATGGTTAAGAACACTGATTGCTTTTACAGAGGGCCCAGATTGGGTCCTAGAACCCCTCGTGGTGGCTTATAACCATCTGTAACTCCAGTCCTAAGGAGTCAGACATCCTCTTTTGACCCCTTTGTATACCAGACATGCATGTGGTGCACATATGTGCATGCAGAATACTCCTACACGGGATGTAAAATAAATCTAAAACATTTGTCTTAAGTTACATTTGATTTCTAAATTATAAAGCCACAATTCAGAACATAAAAATAATACGAAATCACCAGGCATGAGAAAAGCAACTGTATCCCAGCATTTTGGGAGGTAGAAGTAGAAGAACTGGAATTTGAGGTCATCCTCAGCTACATAATGAGTGTGAGGCTAACCTATGCTACTAGGACCCTATCTTCAGAAAAATATAGTGGATGAAATTTTGGTACCATAGTTGACAGTGTTTGTTTTAGTCATAGGTTGCTAGAAAGAGTAATTCTCATTCATATTAGTCATGTTACTAGAGTATTCTAATAAGAAAAATCTATAAATGCTCTTTCTTCTCTGTACCCCCCCCCCAGGTTCTGATGAAAGAGTATCCCAAGAGGTTCCACCTTAATTAAATCCAAAGGAGGAGGTTAGAAGGGAAGGGGTGTTAACAGACGGAGGCCATTAATTACATGATGGATGATAAACAGGATGTTGATTCACATGGAAAGATCTCAAAGCTCTGACCTCATAGTTAAGATCAAGGAAAGGATACCTGGCAAACACTCCTGGAGTTGAACTTTAACAGGGACCTGGTGGAAGATCCCCTTTCTGGTACTTGGTGTTTATTGAATGCTTAGCTTTGCAGAATGTGATGCCAAGATGGAACTTGGGTGAAGAAATTTTAGGGAAGAAGTTCCCAAGAAACCTTTCAGGAACCTTCTGGGTTTCACGATTATGGCAGAGCACCAAAGGCAGATTGTTGTTTGGGGTGTCGGGGCTGTGGGTTACTATGGGAAGTAAGTTTCTGGAAGACAGTTTCCAAAGTTGTTGACAGACAAATTGCTAGGGATCGTAGAGAATGCAGACACAAGGCTTGCTTGACTGTCCTTTCAGCCTCATGTCCAGTCTTCTGGGCTGTCCCTGTCCCTGCATGTCTTCAAAGCCCAGGGTGGGACTTAACTACCCACCATGTCTTGTATCCCTAGCCCTTTGAACTTATTTCAGGGGCCAACTTTGAGCCCATTGCTGCCATGAAAGTTCTTTTTCTAGACAGTCTGAGTGAGTTCTCACTTCCTCTTGGGACATCCTCCGGTGGGACTGTGGCTGTGCTGTGCATTTGTGCGTCTGCTGTTATGCGCCATTTTCTCTCAGTGTTGTCTTTGTGGGCAGGCCAGGCAGGAAACTTCTAAGCTGCCCATGGGAAGTGCTTTGCAAAGGCTTGATATTTGATCCATTTTGCTTATGTTTCTGCATCCCATGTTATGTTGAAAACAGAGTTGCTGTTTGTAGCTCAACTGGCCCCTGATTTAGTGTGATGGTGCTTCAGGAGGAAAAGGGAAACAGCAAATACTGTGTGGTTGGTTGGAAGCTAGCCTGAATTAAGTGTGTGTCTCTGACCGAGTCAGATCTAGAGAAAACTGCTACTCACACATGAACTTCTGCCCTTGGAACAGCCACTGTCCCAGCTTTGAGGCTGCAGATATAGTTACACTAGGTGGGCCTTTGGAAATAATGTTTACTACTACCCGGTCTCTATAGTACTCAGTGTCTGCTTTGGGTGCAGTTGGTGCTAATGTGTTTTAGGGTTGGAACAATATGAAAGGAATTTTAAGCCAGGGCTAAGGGATGGGATGTAGGTGGGAGAACCATCTTTGAATTAGTTGCTTGGCAAGAGAAGTGGGGATTACTTAGGGTATAACTGGCAGGTTTTGTTCTGTGTAAGTAAATCAGAGAAAGTAGCCAGGAGCACTCTGTGCACTGGACAGAGTTGTACTGGCCACAGGCTGTGAGTGGGCATCTAAGGACAGGTGCGTTTTACTTCCATGGTGCGTTACGGATGTGGCTCTTAGTGTGTTGTTCTTGGCCCTGATGGTGCATCCTAGTGTTGCGCCCCTTTGCAATGGGTGCTTGTCCTCACTACATCTGGTCACCTCTGTCAGTGTGCTTCATTCAGAAGCCCCTTGGTCCTGATAGGTCAAGAGGATTTATTATCACACGAGGAGTGGATCTTTCTGAGAAGAGCTTGCCTCGGTATCCTCTGAGGCAGCAGGGAAGGGGCTGGCAGGTATAAAGCCATTCTTTTTTCTATCCACTACCCAGCATGAATGATGGTGCCTAGCTTTGGTTTTGCACAGGGGTCAGAAAACTCTGGCTACCTGCCAGCTTTCCCACATCACATGTTCTTGGAGCTACTCATTCCCCTGTGGATGGGGTGTGGGTGCTTTGGCTCTGAAAACAGTAAGGCCAAG